CCACCCCCCCCCCCCCCCCTCAGAACCCTCCAAAGCAAAACAGCTCTCGGGCTCCCGGCAGCCTTCCTGTGCCAGAAAGCGGAGCCCAGCGGAAATTAATATCGCGCTGGACTTAGGCAGCCCACCCCACGCCTCGTCGGCATGGACAGAAAGCTCCTGCGCTCTGCCGCCAGCCTTGCTGCCGCCTGGACCATGGCTGGGGACCCCCCGGTGCCGGTGAGCCGCCCATCACCCCCAGACCCGCGGGGCTGAGCTCTTCTTCCCGGCCTGATCCAGCGGGCCGGGGTGAGCCACAGTTCAGTATTTGATCTGACGGCCCCGGGGGGCTGGCGCATCGTTTTTATTTGAGTACAAAGAGTCATCTCTTAATGAAAGTCCCATCCCGGCTCCCCCTCTTCCCCACTCCACCAGCGGAGGCAGCCAAACCTCCGCCATCCGGCTGAAGATGTTGGGAGCCTGTGGTCACAAAGGACAGCAGGCTTGGAGACCAACACGGAGGCTTGGATCCCTGTGTGGTCATCATGGGATGGGACTGGACAGATTTTCTGGTCACTTTCCACATGGGCCTCACTTTCCCCATCTGTGGAGGACCTGTGCCAGGCAAGCTCCACGATGCTTCCCTAGCTGCCTCATCCTTTTGCAGAGGTCCATGTGAATCATGCAGCAAAGGGAAACTGAGCTGCTGGGAGCAAAGGGAGATGGGCTCTCCCTGGCAGGAGTGTGGGCTTGCCTCAGTTTCCCTGCTGGAAGTTCCCTCTCCAGGCTATGCCTCTCTGTTGAGCTGTTCAACCTTTAAACCTCCAGCCAAAGCATAAGGGTTCCTTTTCCAGGCTGTGTGAGAGGGCATGTCCTCTCCAAGCCCAGCTGGGGTCTGGTGGGCAGGAGATCCAGGCAGCTGGGAAGCTGACATGAGGCAGGGGGGATCCTGGCAGGGCCTTGAGCTTCAAGGGGCTTGGAAGGGGTTTGCACTGGGGACAGGATTGCAAGCAGGGTACTGCAGCCTGGTGTCCCAAACACAGCCCCCCAGCTGCTCAAGAGTGAAAAGGAAACCCAGAACACAGTTAAACACTGAGATTCAGTGATTTTTGAGCCCCTGGGGCTTGGCCAGACAATAAAGCTCTGGGTTTGGAAGCTGCACAGCTGATGCTCTCCGGTGAGTGGGGCTTGCAGGCAGCACAGGGCCGCCCAAGCACTGCTCCCCAGGGAATCCCAGGGAATGTAGCCTCCCAATCATCAGGCATGTCCTGGTCCTGGGGTATGCTGGCTCCAGCCCTGAGGTTATGTGGGCACCCATGGCCACGAAAATCATGTTGTTGAGCAGGATGGGCTCTGAGCCCACAGGAGCAGTGCTGGAGGCAAGGGTGGGCTGAGTTTAGGGTGTGCTAAATTCGTGTGGCCCATGGCTCCAGAGTTGCCTACAGCAGAGCTGGAGCATCACCCACGCCAGCACGAGGCAGGGTGCTAGCGGGCTGCGCAGCTGCATGAGCTGTGCCGTGGAGGGCACTCCAGGCAAAATGCGTGGGGAAAAGTACAGGAGTTTCTGTAGCCGATGGCACACCGGGGAGCACAGCACTGTGCTCAGACTTTGCCTTCAGGGCCAGAGAGGCAGGCACCTCACTCCAGCTGGGCTGGCAAGGAGGAGCTGCCTCTGACGTGGGCCCCGCCAAGACTTGCCCTCCCTCACTGGCATTGGCAAAGCTGGCGATGCCACCTGCATCCCTCCCTTGCACTCCCGCACCCGCCTGCGGCTCCATTCCCTGGAGTCAGTGCCTGGATTTGGGGAGGTGAGTACAGGATCCTGGCCAGCAGCCGAGGGGCTTTATCAGAGGCAAGGTCACTCATCTAGTCTCCCACGGGGTAAAGCAGCGAGCCCCCATGGAGAGGGGGAGACATACCAAGAATGCTGGCTGGGCTCCTCGTTGTGTCCACAGCTCTGTGAGACGCAGCTGCATCGGGCATCAGTCACATGGCAATGCCAGGGCTGGGTTAGGTCAGTGCCAGCCCCAAAGAGCAGATGCTGAGTGGCACAATATTTCTGCCATCTCCTGTCAGGGACACCACCATCTCCCCCATGGATGTCCCCATGGATGTCTCCAAGGATGCAGAGTGGTATGTGCCAGCATCATCCTTTAGCCTGTCCCTCGGCTGGAGATGCCCCCCATTCCCCGAATGGATGGACAGGGCAAGGTATTGCCTGGGTGACCCACCCATACCTGTTGTCCTGCCCCCACTGCATACATCTCTCTGTCCCCCTGTCACCTGGGCTCAGCACGGAGCTGGCACTGCCCTGCAGCCTTGCTCCGTCCCTGGGGGTAGGTCTGGTCATGTCCCATGCACACCCTGGTCTCTCCTGGGCTTGGGTGCTGGTTTTGCTCTGCTCGCTGTCCCCTCCTGCAGGGCAGTGGGGAGCCCCCTGGTCATGGACCCCAACAGCATCTGCCGCAAGACGAAGCGGCTGGCGGGGAAGCAGGCAGAGCTGTGCCAGCTGGAGCCAGAGATT